CGACCACCGTTGGTACAGCCCTGGGAGTATCTGAAATGTTCATTTAAGGTATGGGAATAGGGGGTACATGACCACCGTTGGTACAGATCTGGGAGTATCTGAAATGTTCATTTAAGGTATGGGAATAGGGGGTACATGACCACCGTTGGTACAGCCCTGTGAGTATCTGAAATATTCATTTAAGGTATGGGAATAGGGGGTACAAGACCACCGTTGGTACAGCCCTGGGAGTATCTGAAATGTTCATTTAAGGTCTGTTTGATTCAATTTATAGACCTTTGATGGATATTTTATAAGAAATTAAAGAAGTGTCCAGTCATACCCTATAGTTAAATGTTAATGACTAGACACACTGTACATAGTACGTAAAAACACACTTGTTTGTTGTTAATAGGTTTTCCCCTTAAGTGTTCACTAGTAATATCCAACCCTGCTCTATGTCATAGGATTCAATGTAAGCGTTGTCTCTACTTGCTCCTCTTTAAAATCAGACTCAAAACCCACTTCCACTTTATTCAGATATTCTTCAAATATATTCATATCATACATATTTGAGATTTTCAATGATTTTAACATCCATATTATGAAAGGAACATAAGGTTTTTCATGTGTTTGTTTCAATTTAGTCTTTTGATTAAAGTGAGAAATTTTAAACATATGCATATTTTTTTCTTAATTTAAATTATGTATAATTAGTTTTACTTCGAAATCTGCTGATAAACAGCTTGATTTGAGCATCATGCTTAAACCTCATACATACTTGCAAACCCTTGTACTCAATAAAAGACTTGGAGGTGATACCTGCGAGTCTTTTATCAAGCATACAACATGGCCATTGGCCATGCTCAGTCATCTTTATCTTGGATCCCTTAATGTACTACTGTTTACAGGATATTAACTGTTTTAGTAATTATGTAGGGTCTGTCGATTTACCCAATACAACCCAATACAAACGTGTCGATTTACCCAATACAACCCAATACAAGCGCCGATTTACCCAATACAAGCGCCGATTTACCCAATATTTACCCAATATTTACCCAATATTAATACAACCCAATACTACCCAATACAGAAAGTAAACACCCAATAAAACTGATATACCATATAAGTATACAATTTAAGTTAAATATATGTAGATCTTAATCAGGCACACTTGTAAATGTATTTTTATTATTTATGAAGTAAATTATGACGGGAATGATATACAATAATTTATCGTTGTTACATTGGAAAAATTATAGCAAGATATATTTCATCATTTATGAAGTAATTATATCAATTACCAAGGAAATCATATACAATAATTTATCGTTATCATATCGGATAAAATTTAGAAAAATGAATTTCATTATTTATGAAGTAAATTATGGGGGGAATGATTTACTATAATTTAGAAAGAAGTCAAAGAAATACAGAAGTTATTGTTATTTGTAGCAAGCATGCATCACCTGTTAGTCAATGGTCAGGTGTGAAACTGGTTCAGATGACACGTGGCCATAGCCACACCTAAATACATATCAATCACATCACATGTGGACATAATCCCTACCTTCATTCATTCATTCTTTATTAACCAAAAGCCCTTAGGCGTATAGGTACATACACATATAACATTATCTAAACATAATAAGTATATAGACAGGAGAGTGACATCACAGTATACATAAAACACCGTTCAATAATGTGAACATAAAAATACTTAATTAACACATTACAGTTATGAAACACCACAATATATAAAACCTATAATTAATGCCTCTTGAATGCCAAATATTAATATTTACCTAAATTGGATAGCTCTCTAACATTATTTATACTTGGTATCAATTTAAAAATTGGTTTTTTTTTTTTGTGATAGTATTTTTTAATTAATCTGTGCCTCAAATCGCTATAAAATGGACAAATCAAAATAAAATGGAACTCGTCTTCTATATCTTGCAAATTGCATTTATCATTTTATGTTACAAATCCTGTTTCTCTGTACGTATGATCGGATGATGTCTACACTGCTGTCTAAATGAAATAGGTGGGTATACAGATGTGTAACTTAATGATTTCAATCGATTTTACAAAAGAAATCACAAGTAATTACATAAACTTTCTCAGATTGGTTCATGTTCAGATTTTTTTTATACAATTAGATAAAAGCCATGTTGAGCTTTCAATAATCATTTTTATAATAAATAACCCTCGTTGTTAAATTATATGTAGGTCGTAATAGAATTAATGGTCATTCACTGTAGAGGCAAATAAGCATACATTTTATATACAAGGAACACTCATGATACGACGACTTTTACTACTGGTGTAAGGGAAGTAACTCGTAAGTAGCTATGAGGCCAAATCAGTCCTTACAGTGAAAAGCCCGTCAAATTGTTAGCCAACAATTTCTAGTTGTGTTTATCTTTGTTTGTAATAACAATCATCATCAAACTTTATTTCCTCCAAAAAGGAGATATTTGTGTACAAGAAAAAAAGCAAAAATTACAAAAAGGACAGAAAATGCTGCAGTAGGGCTCAGCTAAACAATTGTATCCTCGCGAACGCGAGTAAAAGTCTTAGTCATGGTTTCTTAAATCATTCCATTCCCTTGAGTTCGCGAAGCGCGCACGACAAAGTATGCTGCATGCATCAGAAACAGTTTTCGTGTTGTATCATCCTGAAATTGGGGACCTGGTTTTGCACCTAATAAATTGTGAACAAAGGTAGCATTGTCATGTTGATCAATGTAATTGAACACATTCAATCCAAACTTATACAGGATCATCTGTAGAAAATGAGCCCGGAGTTCGCTGGTGTACTCGCACGTACAGCAATAGTGGGATATCACGTCACCGTGCTTCTATGTCTCTGTTAGATTTTGCCACGTGCAACATAATATACGGGTTGTAGGAGGAGTGACAGTTCCTTAATATATATCAAAATCACGGTTGTTTCTTAGTCGATCTTTTAGGGTCAGGTTTTCTGTAGCCATTATGGAATTTCTCACTTTTCCCTTCCACTGAAACTTAGAGGGGAACGTGTAGTTACGAAGGTGTGCATCAAAGTAAGACAACAGGTTATATTTGTAGGTTATCTGCACAATATCCGGAACAAACCCTCTTTCACGAACACTTCTAACATTTTCTGTTTGCAAATGACTAAGAAGATAGTCTTCTTGTGAAGATCTGCTTCGTTAAGAGAGACTGCTCCATCAGAACAAGCTTTACCAGAAATATTAGCTTCCTCTTATCAATAGCTGCAGAAATTCTAATCAAACCAAGTACAGGCTCAACAATATCTGACCTGGCAGGACGATCTGCTCCAAGAATGACCTTAGCAGCGTAATGTTGAAAGCGACTAAGTTTCGCGAGGTCGGTATTACGGAGTTGAACCCGGTGCTCACATCTATATAGAATTGAAGCGTCTTTCTCCCTTTGTCACACGCAGCCTGGATGCGTTCAGCGTTAGACATTTGTGAGCTTACAATAGTTCCTAGATGAACTTGAGAGGAGGTGGTCTCAATAGTGACAGGTCCAAGCATCCAACTAGCATCAGGCTGCCCTGGGATGTAATTCCAATAACAACAGTTTTACACTTTGAGTGATTAAATACAAATTTCCACTCACGACATAGCAAATGTTCAGAAGCTAAATTGAAGTGAAAGCTGTGATCAAGGATATGTCGTCAGCTAACGTCAGATTTCCAGTTAATAAGCATTGGACTTTAGCACCAAGCTTATACTATTCTCTAACTTGCAAAGAGGGGAATCGATAAATGTTTGGTACAGAAATGTGGACAGCACTCCTCCTTGTCGAACCCCTGACTCAACAGGAAACCAAGGTGACGTCGTTCCCTGCCATGTTACAGCGCTCACCATATGGGTGTAAGACTCGCGAATATATTGGAAGAGTTGTCCATTGACTCCAAGATCTTTTACTTTTGCCATAAGCCCTGCGTGCCAAACAGTGTCGAAGACCTTTTTAATATCGAGAAAGGCTAAATAAACGGTGCTGTTTAACTCATGGATATTGTAAATCATCTCCTGGAGAGGGAAAGAAGCTGTCGTACGATTACGAATGGTAGCATGAAAGTGAGTGAGTATATGTGTTCGTTCATTATAGTAAATAAATCATTGTTTTTTGTTATTGTCCTATATTCCACCCATAACTTCAATATACAATGTATTAATGAAATAAAAATAATTGGATACCGGTATCTATAGGAAAAGACTTACATGTATATAGGCTAAGCTTGTTGTCAGGTCCATCTGTTAATACATGTATTTTTATATTTCTTCTAAAATAATTGTATTTATCTTTGTTTGTACAATGAAACATTTTGAAATGAAAAAGATTGAATCAAGGATTTCCAAATAACAACGATCTTGTCAAAAAATACCCGGGTCCGCACAGCATCGTTACTTGTATTGGGTACATTTAACTTTATATTGGATAGTATTGGGTAAATCGATACTTGTATTGGGTAGTACTGGATTGTATTGTGTAAATTGACGCGCCAGTTTTATATAATAGGCATATTTACACATAAAGATCTTTATGAAACGAGTCAATTTATTTTTCATTTTTATGAGGCTCTACAAATCAGTTAAAAAAGAAATACTAGTCATACAGTAGGACCTATATGGATTATTATTGTTTGTGTACTGGCTATGTTGAAAAATTATGCTTTCTTTTTCTGATAATGTTTTAAAGTTCTTGACATGTTTTAAATATCATTTTATCCTCAATTTCTTAAAAGTGTTACTGTAAAATGTAACTGTTACTCAAATGAACAGAATGAGGGTTGTGCCCAACCGGCCGGTTGACATAACAGCATAATGCGCCGTGGTTATAGTAACGCTGCAGCCGCATGATAAATATATTGGAACGTACTTAGTCCAACCATTAGATTTTACATAATTAACATACTGTATACACAGAAATAGATCGTTTTCCAACGTTCAACATAAAATCGATGCTAACGCAATACTACAAGATATTGCACATCAAGCTTACCGGCCCATTGGCCAAATCGCCTCTTCAGATTACTCCACCGTGACAATTTACTTAGTAAATGGTCATTCCCCGCCTTTAGTACACAATAAATAAACTGTAACGTCTTCCGTGAGGCATACAAGCCACCGATCAAGGCCAGTGAATCCCTAGTAGACCGACAAACCATGGATATTTCATGAAATAAATATTCGAAACTGTCAACTGCCGCCATTTTTACACCTTATTCGAGATTCTCGGATACATTCTTTGGGATGAAGTAGTAACCCGATAATATGGACTCCATGGCAGCCTAGGCAAAAATAGAAGTCCTCCGAACGGATATTAAAATATATATTAAAGATGCATGTACGTAGATAGAAAAATCAATATTTGGTATACCCATCTTTTAAATGAACATAATCTTGTATCTTTGTGGCACGATCATAAGTTCTATGGTATTTATTTTTGACAGCGCATACAAGAAAGTAGCGAGATAAGGAATCAATACTATGTATACATTGCCACAATGCCCGACTTCTGAGTCACACTCGGTAGAAACAAAATGCATTTCCACACTCAGTTTTCCCTTTTGAAAAATAGCTTTGGGACTGAATTTATGCCTCAAAGCGAGGTATATGGTTCTATCCAGATAATATTACACTGCGTGTTGACCTTTTTTGTAGACACCGTTTATTAGCCCGCGGCTATTTTGGGACCATTCTGGAATATATATATATATATATAAATATCAGGCATGTATGTTTTCAGCAGATTACTGAACGAAGTTCTTTGTTTTCACAGAGACTAGAGCAATATACTGTTTGAGGTTTTTAAAGCATGAAAAATAAAATAAAAATAGAAACAAAAATACATCTAAATGATCATTTTTGAGCGAGCAAAAGTCATTTGAAGGAGAACAGCCCGAGTTAGCGGATTTGTCGTCCACTGTCTTCACAGGGACAGAAATTGAGATATTTTCTTTATCATTGATTTTACTTTAATATATAAGTTAGCATTTTTTAAGTATTGAATAATACTTATTACTAGCACACATGCACCTTCTTTTTTAATTCCATAAAAAGGCATCAGATGAACCACCATTAAGAATCCTAGAGTTCCTTTCTACCATTATAATATTTAGAATCACATGTATGTGAGAAAATATTGCGCACAAACCATTTTGTAAATATTCGCGAATAAATTATATCTAGTAAGAAAGTATACTGAATTTGGAGATATAAATGTAAGTTATATATGTGTCTTCCACGAGATAAACTAGTTCTGTGAATGGCCAATTGTGTGTGATCTCTTTCTTAGGGTGATTATTATAAAAAGAGATTGATTGGCTGACAGTTCGAATCGTACGTATAGCTATAACGATCAAAATAACACAGAAGTGATATAATGAAAAGACATTGTAAGGTAAAATGGTCACCACTGTCAGAAACAGAAAGGTATATACATACGGCTCACAAAGTCCTTTAAAAACATGTAATTTCCTATTTCCCCATTTGTACCCCTATCGAAATTTGCTAAAAAAAACGAACAACAAACAAAGATTGATATCAGGATCTGTCACTGCATGACGATATTTCCCAGTTATGTCTGTTATTTTTAATATCTATACAAGTACGGTATTACGTCTGACCGAGGCCTTCGTATTGTGACCTGGTTCACGCATCGTATTCCACTGTGCAGTCAGAATACCAGTGTAGTCATCTGCAAAACAGTCATAAAACAGGTCGACATTTGGCAAGAAACCATTAATCGTCATCGTGCACATTCCAGTGTTGTATTTTATAGGGTGATCATGTTGTTCCTTAACCTTCCTTCCACCTGAGATTTTCAGCTCTTCCCACCTTCCCCAACCGTTTGTTCTCTTCCTGTTTTCTTCCTCTATTTCTGTTTCATTCAACTATCTCTATTACATTCTCTCTTCCCAGATTTTATCCCTTCCGTTCTTACTAAATTGCAAATACTTGCAAATAAACAAAGGTTTTCTCTTTTAATTTGTTTATTTTAACATTACATATATACTTTACCTAGACGTCAAATAAAACAAACGATTTCATTATATCGAACACAATGATGAGATTATTCCATGAAATTATGTAAATCAACCCTCGAATAAATGTCCCTATTTATGAATAATCTTCTAAGAGAAGAGAAAGGTGTATGTTATGAAGGTTGTCAGGGGCTGTCAGCCTAGGGGACTAACCAGCGCCTAATGTCGATAAAAACACTACTACGCCACGATAATACATGGTTAAACACGTGTATCCTGTCATTGTCTTGTATAGCTACAGGCACCGGTCCGTCTGTCAATGCTGACGTCACAAGATAGATACCAGGGCATCATTGAGGTGTGAGCCCATGTTAACATCACCTGTTATACCTGTGAGGTATCGCCGAGTAGGACTGCATGTAATTCGGACAATTTACCTTGATGGAGTTATAATTGTGTAGAATTATTCCGTTTCGTAATTGAAATCCTTCTCTTTGTCAATATGAACTTCTGCACACTCCTTTTCGGACTTTTAATGATGTTTTTAATGAATGAAGGTAAGTGTTGTATTTCATTATATGCTGTTTCTGATATGAATGCATTATTTGTAAATACTTACCAAATAAAAAAAAAATAACAGCCATGTTTTGCATATTTGCATAAACTTAATATGTAAATTTAAGAATGTGCATGAATATAATTATTTTTTCAAACACAACAACACTACGGTACAGAGGTTTACATACATACACCTAGCTGTTTGTACTTGTTGTAATAACCCTCTGTGAAGGATGTAAGCCTCTTCTTACCTATCATTTTTGTAATTATCTTCATGTGGCCTCTTGTTATTTGCACATCACGTTTGTCGTAAGAATAAAACTACATTGCTAATGTTTACTGTTTTAAATTTGAGACGTTATATATCCTTATGTAATTGCTATGCGTACTTAGTGATTAATGCAACATGAGGCATTTGTTACAAGAATGACGTTTCAGAAACTAGTGAGTTGAGACATGAATTCAGAAACATCTAGGCTTCTTTAATGGACAATGTATTCACCATTTCAAGGAGTGAAAGCTGTGTATATTTGTTAAATCTTGACATTTTAAAAGACTGATCATACGATTGCAAAAGACATCACCTACTTTTCAGTGTAATGTTTGAGGTTTTAAGCTTCGTTCGAGACGCTTAACACGTGGAATTTCTGTTCATTATGTAACTGTTTTTGATATACAAATTTGTGCTGATTTGCAAGTATTTATACGTGTACAGAGTACTCTCAACAACTGTGTTATGTTTTAGCAAGTGAAGTGGCGTCTATGCATTTGTACAAACTATACATTATGTTCTTTAAACTATCAATGCATGAGCTTTTTCTAATGGTGAGCAGAACTTATAAATATCCCTATTATTTCAGTAATGTTTCCCCTTTACCAATGTAAGAAACAAGTGACATTTTACAAGGTATATAGACATTTATGTGTATATAAATTTTCACTATTCTCAAATCTTTTTAGGTTTTATTTATTTAATGTCATATTAACAGCTGAAGTAAGTTAAGGACTTGCCTTCATATGTGTAAATGTGTTTTAGGAAGGATAGGCTGGTTATGTTGGTGTATTTGCCTCCCTGCGATAGCATTTCACCCAGTCACATTATACTGACAACGGGTTAACCAGTTTTTGCCATTTTTCGAAATGCTGAACATTACGCAGGGAATAATAACTATCCTTTTTAAGGACGTTGGTATGCGTTGACCTGGAGACAGAACCTGTTTCCACCCTGTTTTTGGCGAACGCTGTATGACATACCGTCTAACATAACACTTTATACTAGTTGATCTGGATAGAGAGGTCCTATGGTTGTGTTTTGTACCTTACATAACACTCTATACTAGTTGATCTGGATAGAGAGGTCCTATGGTTGTATTTTGTACCTTACATAACACTCTATACTAGTTGATCTGTATAGAGAGGTCCTATGGTTGTGTTTTGTACCTTACATAACACAGCTGTCAGTGTACCGGACCACTTGACAGATATGTGCAGTCTGTATGGCCAGTGACATGATGTAGATTAGAAAACTTGTACTGGTCAGCTGGTACCCTTTTTTATCTGTGCGCTTATGCTGTATTTCTGACTCCTTTTTTATTGGTCAACTTGTATCCAGTGTTGACGTGGCGGAATTCTTTCCGTGTACTGGACAACATCCCTTGTGGTTGTATACACTTGATGTAGGTTAGGGGTTTTCGTCTTGTTATAACTGTCTTAGACTATAGTTGTAAGTCTCCCATTAAGCAGGTTTGTCGCCTTAGTTACATGTATGGAACTTGCTCACTTGATGTTTTTGCATTAGCTACATCAGTATTATTTGGTTGCTTTCTACCTGTGTAATAGACAGTTTTTGCGAGTTCGTTTCGTCTATTACAAGACTTTGTCACCTCGGTTAATATCGCTTTCTCAGGTTAATAAAACTACACAGGCAACTCAATGAATGTCAATAATTGACGATTAATAACAAATTTTTAAGCCCGATAAATATGAGTAAGAATAATATACTAGTTTTAGTTGATTTGCCATTGCTAGTATGCAGATTTACTAGGTAGATTTCAATTATCCATTTAAAGTACTTCGCCACAGTTTATTACATTTTGTAAATGCTTCAATTTAGACGGGGGAGGTATTACGTTCTCAACTACAACTTCATTGCCCACTCTGAAACTGTGATACTATGATTTTGTGATACTATGATTTTGTGATTTTGTGATACTATGATTTTGTGGTACTTTGATTCTATGATGTACTATGATACTGACGCTTGTTACTTAATACCTGTTATATGAAGTTATACTTCTATGATTCTATTATACCATGGCAATGGTACTATATTAGTTTACTGTCTACAATGGTTAAGACGTGTTTATGTACATGTAGCTCGTTAGTAACTTATTTACCTTCCTGGGTTTGGCAGAAGACAAACGTGTCGCATATGGTACAGGAAATACTCATCATCAGCGGTTCTTAACGTTTGTTTTTGGGGGAGTTATTATGTCAGAGGCTCTTAACGTTTTTGTTTTTGTGGGGTTATTATGTCAAAGGTTCTAAACGTTTGTTTTTGGGGGGATATTATGTCAGAGGTTCTTAACGTTTGTTTTTGGGGGGTTATTATGTCAGAGGTTCTTAACGTTTGTTTTTGGGGTGTTATTATGTCAGAGGTTCCTAACGTTTTTGTTTTTTGGGGGGTTATTATGTCAGAGGTTCTTAACGTTTGTTTTTGTGGGGTTATTATGTCAGAGGTTCTTAACGTTTGTTTTTGGCGGGTTATTATGTCAGAGGTTTTAACGTGTTTTTTTTGTGTGTGTGTGTGTGTGTGTGTGTGTGTGTGTGTGAGGTTCTTAACGTTAGGGGTTT